CCCCTGTTGAGGTTGATGGCCGTGCTCATTTATACCATGTTCTCATAATTTCTGCTTTTCGTGTCATTCTTGCTTCTTGTGTTTGTTTGTTCTCCTCTAGTTCTCTTATGTTCGCGGAGAGGGCGGAGAGCCGGAACACAGTACCTCTTATTTTTAATTTTCTCTTTAATTACTTACTTTTTTTTTACCAGGCGTGGGCCATCCCCTGATCATAGGTGCCAAAATACGTATTTTTACAGCGTTCCTGTCACTCGAGTTGAACCTTTGAACCTTTGAGTTGAACCTTGGTCAGTTGGTGTGAAAGTTGTAGCCTGCAGGCACGGTGACCAGGCAGCTGGTGTACGCATGCGCACGTGACCGCTTACTCACCCGTGTTCGATTGGGAATAAGAGCCGAACGCTGCATCGCAGCCGTTTCGGACCAAAACCAGTCGACTCGGCGTCCAAAAGACTACAACAACAAAGAACGAAACTGCGCTTTTAGTGACTTATGCATACAAATCCCCATCTAGTAGGGTGCAGTCACCCAGTTTCGGTGGAAGTGCGCGAGTTGGATTGGGAATAAAGGAGGAAGGGAGCGTCTCAGCTTCCTCGGACCAAGATCATTCGACTCAGCACCCCGAAGACTACAACTGGTGAAAATTTGATTTTAGGGTATACTTCCCCTTTAAGCCCCTGCTGTGTTGCTTTGATTTGCACAGATCAGTCTTGATCTTGCCAGGTGTGGTACGCGGATGACTCTTCCGGCGGTGGAAGACTTCGAGCCCTCCGCACCTGGTGGGATGGGCTGACTGAGCAAGGAGAAGCCTATGGCTACCACCTCAACCCCAGCAAATCCTTGCTGCTGGCGAAGGAGCATGCGTGCGATGAGGCAGTGCCATTACTTGCTGACACTCGTGTCCAGATCGTCAGAGATGGCTGTAGTCACCTGGCAGCGGCTTTGGGCACCCCAGAGCGCGGTACATGCGGCTCAGCTTGAGATTGCTTCCGAGCGTGGTAGCTCTGCTTGGCTGACGTCAAGTTCTCCATCCTGCGATGGCTTTCGTCTTTCTCGTCTGAGTTTAGAGATGCGCTGTGTTTGCGCTATGGCTGGGTGCCGGAGCGTTTGCCGTCATCCTGCATTTGTGGCAACGCGTGCTTCTAAGTTTCCCCCACGGCCGCCGCTCTATCCTGCCCGATTGATGGATTCCCGTCTTTGAGACATGATGAAATCTGTGATGTCACCGCTGACCTCATCCGCCAGTACGAGATGGGGATTTGTATGCAAAATGTCACTAAAAAAAGCGCCATTTCGTTCTTATAAAAGCACGGATGACCACGATTGGCCCATATGTTGTAGTCTTTTGGACGCTGAGTCGACTGGTTTTGGTCCGAAAAGGCTGCGATGCAGCGTTCCTCCTTTATTCCCAATCGAACATGGTTGAACAAGTGGTCACGTGCTCCTGGGTGCCCAAATCACCTGGTCACCACGCCAGCAGGCGACAACTTTCATACCATGTACCAAGGTTCAACTCGAGTGACAGGACTGCACCCAAAAAAGGTCAAACAGGCTAGTAAGTATTATTAGTTGTACCCTGCAGGCACGGTGACCAGGTGACTGGTGTACACAGGAGCACGTGACCGCTTCTTCAACCATGTTCGAATGGGAATAAAGGAGGAATGCTGCATCGCAGCCTTTTCGGACCAAAACCAGTCGACTCAGCGTCCAAAAGACTACAACATATGGGCCAATCGCGGTCATCCATGCTTTTATAAGAACGAAATGGCGCTTTTTAGTGACATTTTGCATACAAATCCCCATCTAGTAGGGCGCAGTCACCCAGTTTCGGTGGAAGTGCACGAGTTCGATTGGGATTCAAGTAGGAAGGGAGCGTCTCAGCTTCCTCGGACCACGACCATTCGACTCAGCACCCCGAAGACTACAACTGGTGAAATTTTAATTTTTGCCTTGACTTCCCCTTTCAGACTACTTCAAGTACAAAATAGTCCACATGTCGAAAAGCCGTACTTCTCTTAAAAAAAATGGATTTTTCCCCTCTTACAAATGAAGGCCAGAAACTGTTTCTAGAGATCTCCTCGATCATTGCTCAAGCTTTGCAAAAAGCCCAAGATTGCCAATATCATATCACCCAAGAGAAACTAGTAAAGTTATCATCAAAGTTAGTCTCGAGTTGAGATCATGGACTACGTACAAGTAGCGCGCTAACGGCCAGCGCAGATGGTGATTTATAGACGATTTTCACTTGACTAGCGAGCTCAGCTCATGTCATGACATGAATGAGACGTCCACACGAGTCGTACCTTTGTTTGACTTTGTGCCAGCATGGACTGGTCTGTGCTCCATTCGATGGCAGTGAACCGTGAACAACGGCGTCCACCTCAGTTCCGAACTATTATTGTAAGTAAGTTACATGTACTTCCGACGTAACGACTGTAGCAAATCCAAGCCGAAATACCTGTACAGTGAGTTACATGAGTCATGTACACGTACTATAGACTATATTAATACAAAAAAGTACAATCCTTCATTCATCGATCATCGACCGACGACGTGCATCTCACTGACCTAGTACCTGCTACTAGTACTGACTACTGTAGTAGCTGGCAGGACTAGTGACAAGTGACATGTCGACAAGGCATGGTATCCACTTACTTCCGACTGGACTTAGCTGGTTACTTGGCCGGATTTGAGACTTGACGTCGGACCCGGTACTTGTCTTGAGTGCTGGTGCACTGCGCTCAGTGCTAGTAGACCCAGGTGCTCGAAGTCCGTACACGTTTACAGTGCACGGGTGTTTCGCAGTGGCCACTCGTCAAGATGGCGGCAAATCCGAGAGTACAAAAATTTCGACTCTGCCTATGTGCGTGGCGGATGCGAATCTCGCACGTGCATGCAAAATCTTGCCTTCTGCAGAGCTGGGTAAAGCAAGTGTGTAGCCAGTGTAGGAACGACGACCTTTTCCGAGAGAGAATGTGGCTCTTTTCATCCCAACATTTTACTCGCCACGCTCTCCCTCCCAGCTTATTGATACGAGTATGTGCTACCGAGTAGAAGTCTCCATCTTCAGAGTAGGCCAGGCAGAATCGCAAGGTTGAAATACTTGCTCACTTGGTTTTTTTGGTCCTTTGAGGTGTTGATGTGATCGTTGTGTAGAACTCGAAGTGACAAACTTGAGACCCCCGCGCCACAAAAAACTAAGGCGCGCCACAAAGTTTCGTTTGGCTGTTCAATGAAAGGACGTATGGAAGCAGGGATAAAAACTATCGTGGCTGCCGGCAAAACTCCTAGTAATGTAATAAACGGGGGTGTGACTTTGGTAATTCCAAGGAGAATGTACGCACGGCCATTCCACAACGAAGACGAACTACGAGCTCAAAAACACTCCGATTTTCAAACAAACGACGCAGGAACGAAGACATGGCCACAGTGTTCCCGTGTGGCCTTCAAAACACCTAATTTTACTTCGATAGCGGCTGGTTCAGGGCAAATTCAGGCCCAATTCGACAGCGTCGTACCGCTCAGATTCGCCCAAAACACGAGGAAATGTACGGTAGATCCAAATGCGTACGCATTTTGCGTACGGGAACGACTGGCCAGAGTTCATGCACTGCAAACACCCGTGAGTGTGTGTTTGCCGAGCTGAAACTCACACTAGCAATGATCACTTGCCAGAATCCTGCTCGTGGATGGAAGGTATCTTGTCCAAGTTTGTTTTGAGGCCAGGCTCGATTGAACCAGGCCATCTTTCGATCCGATCTGTTTCTCTGGAGTTCGCTCATTTTTCATATCAAATTTTGGTGTCGCAGAGGGTACTCTAAGTCCGTACTGATCAGAGGTGACTCGAAATACACACATATTTCTGCTAATTGCTAACTTGCAATCCCTCGGTTACGACGAAAGCACCGAAGGGATATGTTTGGCATGTGCCTCCACCGGTATTTCTTGCAAAAGCGTAGCTTGTTGCCGAAATGCAAGCTGTTTTTAGTCGGCTCAGAGAAGAAGCAGCTGCGCTGTGAAAACCGCGGGAAAACAGTGGTGGAGATGCCAGGAGTGTCAACCTTTCTGCAAGGATTGGTGGTTCTCTGTAAATTCTTCTCCTCTGGCCATTGTCAGCTCTAAGCTGGCTCTTGATGATTGAGTGAAGGTCTGTTTGACGCTGTGTCCGTTCGAAATCGGTCTTGGCAAAGTTGATTTTTGCATGAAATGTAACCCAATTTGTATTTCGTATGGACACTCGAAAACCCACTCCCGTGGTATGGGACTTCTGCTGATCGTAGATCCCTGAAAATTGGTACGCGAGGAGAACATACCACACTGTCCCCTCCATAAAATATTTGAGTCGAATACAATAACAGAACATGAAATTATGGGCGTACGAACTTAGGATACCATGTACGGACTTCGAGCACCTGGGTCTACGAGCGTACTACTACTACATAGTACATGTAGTAGTAGTAGTAGTGCGCTGCGTGCATGTGCATGCACCTGTGCACTGGACTGGACTGTTCCAGAAACCAAAAAAATGACACTGCTTCTCGAGCTCATGCATTGTTCTCGATCACGTCACGAAGCACAACACGATGACAAGGCATGTCGCAGCATACAGTCGACGTCCGTCAGTGATGTCAGGTAGCAAGCGCAGATACACTACAATCATTATCATACACACACACACAGACGTATAACTCAAGTACATGTGCCAGTCGACATGTACGCGAGGATTATTTTTCATAATCCCCGCGGCGTGGTGTAGATCTACGTGTCCGCACTCACTCAGTGCAGCAGATAATGTGCAATGCCCGAAGTGTAAAAGTAGGCGAGTTGCCTGTATAGTGTACAGGTCCATGGTGTAGAGTCTACCATGTCCGTGTGTACTGCATGCTGTGTGAATCATGCCGGATGTACTTTTGTAGTACAGTCATCATGGTCATGTACATGTAGCATACAAGCGGCCGCGACGATAAAACCTCACGTGAACTGCTGGGTGGAACTGAATCTACAGTCATGTTGTCTTTTGTTGAGGCTGAGTTCGTCAGTACTACTAGAGTAGGATTTTGTCTCACTTGCGAGATCTTTACTTAGTTTGGCTTAGTTTTCCAGGAAGGAATATCAGCCACGCTCGCCACGGTCGTGTTGTGTACCGGTAGTTGTTCCTGAATACTAGGAGCTCCTGTGCTATTATCGGTAAGAAATGTTGTCATTTTTTGTCTTGTTTGAACGTTTGCTATGCGCTAGTTGATGTTGCAGTCCTATCCCGATTCGCGATGTCAGAGGCTAGGCGCTAGGCCGTGTTTGGTTAGGGTTGTGGCGCTCTGGGTAAAAACTGAAAAGTGTGTGTTGCTTCGAACCAACCTGACTGACAAGTTGATGTCAGCTTGCTGTCATCCGAGGAAAGCCGGACGGACGGTGTGACGATCCTCAGGCTTTTCTCACCGACCGTGCCCGAAGGAAATTCTAATCGATGCCTTACCAATCGCTGCTTGCTTTGGTGTTGATTTTGCTTCATTTTAACTGGGCTTGCTTGGCCGAGAGCTATGACTGTGAAACTCGAATGGGGGAGGAGAGAGGGAACTACTTAGCCTTTCTGGCTGGGTACTAGTACTAGTGTTTCCGCCATTCATAGTGCTTTCTTATCATGGTTATGGAAGTGAGCACGCAAACCGAATCCTTTGCGTAACATAGTCATTTCCTCAGATTTATAATTATTCGGATCCGGACCCGGGTGTACCCTGAGTTGTCTCAGCCCCATTTCCATCGAAGTATCCGTCTCAGCGTCTGCTCGTATCGGATACTGGCATTCTAATAAATCATCCATAGCATTAGAAAAGCTGAAAGGATCGCTTTTCTAAATGGGGAACTAAGCCGCGCCTACCGGTACCGTTAGCGCTCATTCATAATGCCCGCTCAATCAATATTTTCAAAACTCATGCAAAACGTGAAAATGGCGTTACATTATAATTGAGCCTACACTACACTTACAAAAAAGCAGAAGTCCCCCCCCCCCCTGCATTATTGCATTAGTGCATGCATGCCTGTGCATCCCTAGTTCCTACCATGTAGGCTGGCATGAAGCCTGGCCGTATTTACAGTCTAGCCAAGCAGGAGGGATGGCACTGTACCGGGCCATGTGGGCTGGATGTAGCCACTTCTCTGCCGGAAATGCTACTTGCGAAATGAGCTAGTTGTATTTGCGCTGGCTAAATACTTCCTCATTTAGTGCAGGGGTTGCCTGATTCCGACATGCCAGTTCCTCTTTACTACTTTAGCTCTTTAAAATTGAAAAAGAACTACCGTACGTCCGCACCTTCAAAGCCATGGAGGTATATTTGATTATAAAGCCAGTCTCAGTTATGAAGCCATGGCTTCATAGATGAACATTTGAAGTATGTTTTGTAAAAAATGAAGGAAGAAGTACCGAATTTCCCCGGATGTAAGTCGCACCTTTTTACACTATACTTCAAAAACAAAGAAGGAGGTGCGACTTACAATCGAGTGTGACTTCCTGCTCATGTGAATGTATTGATACAATTTGGTTCAGACCTAAAAATGGGTTGCAACTTATAATCAAGTGCAACTTATAATCAAGTGCAACTTATAATCGGGGTGATACGGTACTATACTCACGGTGAACTTACAGCGGGCCAGCAAGAAGGGTGGACAAGTGGATTTAGATTGAAGTTTGTGTATGGACATTGAATTTTATGGCATGGCGTAGTCGGGCTGAGTCATTTTACACTTGCAATAGCTAGGAAATCAGCGGTGTTTCAAATATGGCCATGCCCGCAGATATACAGTATTTTGACTGTACTTGAACCGGCTGCAAACCAGGCTGATACCGGTATGCGTGCAGTGCGCCGGTGCTGCTGCAGACCTCTCATCATTAATTTTGTGCAATCTCGCTGACCTCTTCCCCCGTAACCACTGCATGATTTTCTACACTGACACTGACAACATTTCACCAGTGACTTCTTTTGAAAATTGAAAAATGACCTATAAACACGTGGAATATTTTACTACTCTGGCTTGCATCCGAGCTTCCTACAGCTATTGCCAGTGATTTGGTCAGTGCGACTATGTCAGGGTTGTAGGCAAAACAACATAGTGTGGCGCTACGTGACCCTCGTTTGAGTCCCCCCCCCCCCCTTCAAAATCGAAAGCACCACTGAGCAATGTATACAGTCATGTGTAGTTTGACCCGTCAATGCACCTGTCAGTTTCCCTGTGCATACAACACTGCGTGCATACAGGCCCTAAAGAGTAGAGCACGATGCTGGTTCATTGCTACACTAGGCTGAGAAAGAAATGGCAATAGGCCTGCATTGCCATGCTGTACTAAGTATTGGTGTGCACTCAGGACTAGCTGAAACGAGGGTTGTTGGAATTGGCTAGCCCCCACTAATATATATAATAATATATACTCAATCTGCGGACAGCATGCTGTTTCGTTCTTTGTGAACTCATCAGCGCAGCACAGAGGAAATGAGGCCGAACCTGATAGCAATGAAAATAAAATTTCCAAAGCCAGATTTATGTGTGTATGTGAGTGTGCGTGTGTGTGTGTGTGCGCGCGCGCGCGCATGCGTGTGTGTGTGCGTATGTGTGTGTGTGTGCATGTGTGTATATGTGTGTGTGTCCGTGCTTGCATGTGCTCGTGTGTGTGTGTGTGTGTGTTCAGGTGTAACAATAGAGATTTTGCAGAATCTCCGTCGCCATGGTGTCTTTAGGACTTGTGGCTGTGCTTATCGGCGTGAGTGCACTTGCCACTGGAGCTGCTGGTTATAGTGCAGGCGCTCCCCAATTTCAATGTGGACTTATGCGTCCTACTCACCAACAGACGGATCGACCAAACGAGAACGGCAATTTCCTGGTCACACACAACATTCCCTCGCCATATGTGCCAGGCGAAACGTATCAAGGTATGCTAGAACTTGGAGACATGATTTTTACAGCAAGTACATGTATGTTTCCAACTAATACTTTCCATGGGCTACATCTAACACCCGGTCTCTGCCACTGCGGCAAGTGGAGTTCTGGTACTAGTAGAGTAATGGTCACGAAACACACCTGGCACGCTCTGTACATGTACAGGACCTGTGCTTTCGCCCATGGGAGGTCACATAGTCACATGGAGGGGGACTAGAGCACGGAGCAAGAGGGTTCACGTGGCGGCAACTGGACGCATACATACACAGGTAGTGTGTGCTGTCCCGGGTGGGCGCTTTTACGAGCTTTTACACTAGATGATTTCCCCCTACGAATTGAGGTTTGAATTGTCAGGATTATAAATGTAGTGAAATGTTAAAATGAGGCGATACTGCTGTTGTCCTTTTGACCTCTGCGTGGTCTAAGCGCCCCTTTTGTCTGCGGTGTTCACGCCCGGGTTTCTCCTCGATCTGCGTGCACTGGTGCGAACGGGGTGTGCTGCTGCACTCGGGCTTCTCTTGCTGGTACTGTACTCTTTGGTCTCTGCACTCTTGTTGTATTTTCTCTCTTTGTCCTTTTTTCCCGTTGTCTTCGTTCTTGAATTCTCCTTCCCAACACCAAAGAACTGTTCCTCTGTGTGTGGGTTGGGAGAACAGTCTTCGTGTACAGTAATGATTGTGGAACTATAAATCAAGGCGTAGAAACAGTCATGCTAGGAATCCCTACGATATACTGTGATCTGCACTTGAAGTATGTGTATAATTGTGCACTGTTGACTACGCTTCTACTGCTGCTGTTGTTGTTGCTGCTCACCTTATGCAGTGATGGTGTCGTCCAATCCCCCAACTAACTTCCGCGGCTTTTTATGCGAAGTGCGCAATGCCTCGGTTGTCCGGGACGCAAGCGGAGATGGCGTGGGCCTGTTCTCGTCTACCACATTCGGTCTGCTCAGTTGCGGAAGTCCGAATGTGAGTTCTTTAAAATTAAAATAATCTGGTTATGGTGGTTTTGGTAGGGTGTTGTTCATGCTGATCAACACTACGGGCTGTAGCCATCAGATCTCGGTCCCGACTCGAGGTTGCCTGGCAGATTGAATTTTTGGTCTCTGGTGAGGCGATCGTGTTCCTGCCCGGCTTTCTCTCCAAAACTGTGCGCCCAGTGCTGAGGTTGCATGGAGTTTTTACAACTGCTGGTAGAGTAGAGAGTCCTGCTTGGAAGCGGAAGGATTTTTTTCCAGCCGTGCTGCGACCCACAGTTAATAGGGAACTCGTGGCCTGGCACGAGGAAAACATGGATGCAGTGAATGGGATTTTCGGTCTTTGACCACATGCTGGTGAGCTGATCTACTCACCTCCCACCGCTGTAGGAGCTGCATCTGCGCCTTAATCCTTGAAGGGTGGTGGCGTTCCTACGGATGCGGAAAACTCGGCCTCTATATAGAGAAACCGAGTCTCACGCGAACCGTGAAATTTTTTTGGTAGAGTTAAAGGTGGCATACTAGTACACTGGTCACTGATCAGGCGTCGGATTCTTTCAAAACATGGATACAGGGCCCCAGCAGCCGTTTTGAACAGCCCAGCCATGGTCGGACCTTGCTTCGAAAAAGTAATTGACCCACCCAATCCATGCAAAGCGGGGTTTTCGTAAATTTTGTCCATTTCCAGTCAAGTGTCCCTATTGTCTGGACCACCTGAAATCCCGTTGCTATGGCCCTGAGATCTAGTGTACAGTACTGCACTGCGTGCACAGAGATTGCTTGGTGAGAGACACATGAGAGGCACAACACTAGGCAACACTAGCCATCACCACAGTTAGCGGCCAGCCACTAGTGGCTGATTGCTACGTATAATCTCGTTGCATGTTGGCATCTCACACCTGGTCTTCCTCATCGCCCATTTCTCCTGGCGAGATGCACTAAAATAGAAATAAATAAAACACGGTTTGAAAGGTAAATGTTCGGCATGAAATTGCCGGTCAAGATGGCATAGCGACTACAGTCCATTTCAAAACTATAGACGCGTAGGGTTTTTGAAATAATATTATTTCAAATTTGGCTGGAGCCTGCAGAATAGTTTTCGGAATATTGCTCAGGTCCGCTCCACAATTACTCTCATATAGTTTCTAAAGGATTGGATAACAGACACCCAATTTGGAAAAATTTATGCACAAAGTGATCACAGATTTTATGTGGTATAGATGCTGGCATAACGGTTTTTGCCTAGGTACGCGTCTATAGTTTTGAAATGGACTGTAGGACCAGAACGAAAGCATGTTCTTAACTTTATAATTGATCAAGTAAGCAAGTTCAGGCCTGGTTCAAATCTGGCCTTGGAATTCTATTTTTCATTGCTACCAGGTTCGGCCTCATTTTCTCCGTGCTGCGCTGAAAGTCCACAAAGGACGAAACAGTTCTGTCCGCAGATTGAGTAATTGACCAAGTATTAACTTTTAGTACTAGTATCCTATGTAATGAAGCTTCGCTGTGTTTGGTTGGAATGGTAAGCTGGGGGGGGGGGGGGGGCAGGTGTGTGGTGTGGTATACACTACTGTTGAAAACAGGTCCTCCTGACCGAATCACTTGATGCATTCAATGTGTTCATTTTCCGGTGAACATACCGTCCGTTTTGTTTCAGACTGGTATCACTCACAATGGGGCATTAGACAACACAAACTCCATAACGTTGGACTGGAGAGCGCCAAGCGTTGCTCGCTCTGATCTGACTGTGAGGTGAGTTTTGGAGATGTTATCGGCTGCATGATCAGTGTGTATATTGGACACCACATAGCATTCAAGCAAGGGTTACAGCAAAACACCTTGGCCGCCAACGTAGTCAGTGTAGTGGATACACATCCCACTGTTTGTCATTGTATCCTTTTATGTAGCATGTATGCATTCATCCGGCCGCGCTGTACGACATGCCAGTTGTACCGTACGCACTTTAGCTGTACCTGCCTGCCTGGCTTTTCCTTTGATCTCTCTGTCGTTCTCTGTATTCCCACACACTTGTGATTTGTTGTAAACGAAGCTAGTTACAAGCCTGATGTCTTTGGTGCGTTTGTAGAACCACTACAGTCAGTGGGGTATCTCTGAAATTCAGTGCTGTTAGTGAAAAGATCTGGCCCATTGCGCACTGTTGTATAATGGCGTTTGTTTTCCTGTGTGATGACATTCCCCAAACCGTCTTCGTCTAGTTGCGTGCATGTGTAATATGAGGATGCGCGGTGTTGTAGTCGAGAGGTCTTTTTGTCAGTCTTCTTGTTCGTCTCTTTGAGTGTAGTCTCCTTTTCCGTCATGCCGATAATATAACAAGGCCCAAACAAATAATGACCTTGTTTCGGGTTGGCCGACCGGGCTACTTTTTCCCAAATTCTGAAATTTTTTTTGTCCCAAATGTATACGAATGGTGCCAATGCCATGTTTGCAAGTGCACTCAACAAGTCATAACTCAGTCGAATCTCAACCGAATTCAACAATCGAAATACCTACGAGGTAGCAGAGAGTCTCAGCGCTTGAAAAACTCCGGGGCCGATATACAAGCTTTTATAACGGAGCTGCAAGCACTCGAACTCTTTGCTTGATTCCTCAGGATGTAGGATATCAGGAGTACACCACATACTGTACAAGAACAGTGAGTTAGTTAACTTTGACATTGATCCTTGCCATGGTACATGTATATGTGCTCTTGTCCATCAATACCACAATTGATGAACCAAAAAAAGTGTCCAAAAAAAGTTTCATTCCGGCCGACCGAGTCTCCTTTTTGAGGGGTTGCCGACCCGAAACAAGCCTATTTTTTGTTGTGGCCCGGCTAATGTAAGAAACAAGTACTTGTCCTTTATGTCCTGCGTCCCGGGGAACGGAATGGCTATGATTCCGTTAGAACGTGGTGACGAAACCCGGGACGCAGAGGATGAGTCTGTTTGTCGTCGTCCGTTACAGCACTACATGCAGGAGTGAGTAGCCAGTTTGGCTCGTCACACATCGGCCACGCCACTTTCCCAACCCTGTTTCGATAACCCGTGTCACGCGGCTGCACTGACAGAGAGTGCAGGCACTGGCCAAGTCTAGTATCAGTGTCTCTAGCCTTATGGAAAGCCTGTGGTAACCTTTTTTTGTTTTCAAGAATGGGGATGGTTGGTGCGTGTGTGTGCATATGTGTGTGTCCGTATGTGCATGTGTACGTGCGTGTGTACACGCCACGGTTGTGCATATGTCTGTTTTCACATTGCTAGGTGCACGGTGGTGGAGACGATGACGACTGTGTACACACAGATACCATCAAATACCATTACAGCTGTAAGTGGACACCAACACTTGCTATGTAGTGTCTGCACATGAACTGGCCCGAATTGAGGCTCAAAAACCCACTTTAAACTTGAAAAATCTAGGTTTTGGATCTGCTTCTGATGGTTCGCGTACCGGGCACGTCAAGAGCCACCTTTTTCTCCTGGCCGGGAATCAGATTGCTGGTACAGACAACGTCACACCAGCATACAGCGCGGAATTCCTACCCCCCACCACCACCAGATACTGCACTTCTCTGCGGTCAGAGTGGGCACCATTTGATCCTGAAGTTGTTATTTATTGACTCCGGCGTCATTACTTGCGACCTCAGCTATTATTTGCACACAGTTCCTGGTGGGGTTGAGCAGCAGTATGTATGCTGAAATCCCGTAAAAACCATGTTCCACGCTGACTCACAACATCCATCACCCGGCATCCTCTCCTTGATGTCCGGGTATACCAAATTACCAATACAGTCAACCTCGTGAGTAACGACACATCTTTGGACATAGTGACCATTTGACTACACACTTTATACAGTTCACGAATAATGACCACTTTTCTCATGCTTGATCGAGAGTCAATATTTGCAAGGTTGCCTGTACATTTGTACTGGTTGAGTATTCCACCGTGCAGCACTGTACATCTAGATTATCTGCTACCCGGCATGGGCTGTTGGTGCATGCGTGTTTGTTACCAAACTAGCTCGTTCACCACCGTGCAACCACACATCAGCGCAACCTGAACAACCATTATAGGTTACACGAGTAGATTATCATTATGAATTGGGAGAGCAAAATATGAATTACCAGTCGAAGCAAACCTCCATGACCAACAACCTCTAAAGCCAAAAAGATCCGCCGAAAATACAAGCTGGCATGCCTGCAGGCATGCACGTACAAAGTCATCATACAAGATGTACAACGCTAGCGTATACTACTGATGTACAGAAACACGTGCACAGTCCGCAACAGACCAAGATTTAAAAGATAAATAATAAATAAATTACTTGAACGAAGAGAACATTGATGAAGCGTAATTATTACTAAAACGGAAAGTACTGCGAAGCAGCTGTACAGTCAGAAATACTTCGAAGTACAAAGAGGAATTTTAAACATCGAATCAACTGAGTATCATGTTGTCAAAACCAACAGTTCTTCGTCTTCACTCCATCACCTGACAACATTACTCCAGTACTATTAAAAGTTATTGTTACTGACGATAACGATGAGGGGCTTGCAAGGTGCTACGATTTCGCAAGCCATGCGGAGCATGATCTGGCACATCCACTGCCACATCGATTTCAATGCGCACACCCTCGTCAGTCTCACTGTCAGAGACATCACAGGAATCTCCTGAGGCTTGTAGACTGCACTCAGGGCGTGTACCAGACACAGACGGACCCTTACGCGGGTTAGCAGCAGCACAATGCACACATTCGGAAACGTACTGCTGGCAAGCAGCAGCAATGCAAGGAAAATAGCAGCGACTGCGGATCAAGTCGTACATTGTATCCCAAGCTGCATGGCCAGAGTTTGAATGTGCAGCTTGGAGAACATTGGATGTCAAAGAATCGGGGATAACCGGCACGGACACAACACCGTCGATCGGCAACTTCACGCTTCGCAGCAAAGCACCATTCTCGACCAGGAGCTGGCTACGGACCTTCGCGAACTCGGTTGGAACGGGTCGGTTCTTAGCCAGACAAGAGACGACTGTCTGGATGACACTGTCACTCCGTTGAGCATCGGTGATCTGTTTCAATGTGAGTGGCCCGACGACCTTGGCAGTAGCAGCAACAGCTATCACATCTCCACCCTTCACCTCCTTGCAATACTTCACCCAAGGAGTCGGGACCCGAGTGAGTGCGTCGGCTGGGTTCTCATCCGTGGGCACCCACTCTACAGTCACTACCAGGCCGCAGGTACTAATCATGTCTGCAACAATCTGCAGACGACGTTGCACTAGAGTTCCGTATAAGCCCTTGGCTCGCACTCGACAAACATTGCCGACAACATCACGCAACCAGCTCGCAACGGTCTTCGAGTCGGTCATCACACGGATGTTGCGCGCATCCCACTGTACAGCCAGAGACAGCGCCTTGATCACTGCGTCCAACTCGACAACGTTAATGTGTCGTTTGTCGTCATGCGGTCGTAACCAGCAGCGATCCTCGACTGTAGCGCCGCCCAGCTGAATAACAGCGCCGAAAGCAATGTCGGACGCATCGGCGTACACAACGCATTCGCCAGCTAGATCAGGTGGCGCATCCCTTTGACCACAGGCAGGGTCTCCATCACCAGCAAGCTTATCGCTGAGCTCTGCGCAAAACTTCTTGAGTTGGCTGTCCGCTAGCGGTTTATCCCAGGTGACGCCGGTGTTAGCGATGCGCTTCAGATAACTGCACCATGGCCGAAGCCATCCACAGACCGGCACATGACCAGTCAGACGACCACACCAGCTGAACAGGTGTCGCAGTGTCGGCTGCTCGGGCAAGTCGAGATCAATGCCAGCTCGCCGGGTCCAGGACACCAAGCCGTCACGGTCCTTGCTTACCTGAAGACCAAGCACACGTGTTGACGTAAGTGGCTCTGCTGGCTTTGTTGGCAAGCCATACTCTGCCAACTTGGCAGCGACTTCATCAGCAATAGCAACAGGCGATAATACATCATCAATGTAGTTGTCCACTCCATTGAACTCCTGTGTGACCCATCGGCCGACGACATCCATGACCTTGGGTGCCACATTGAGCCCAAATGCCATACGAGTCATGACGTAGGTGTGACCCTTCCACGCTACTATCTGATATCTCAGCAGCTCAGGTGCCACGTGCACTTGTAAATACGCCTTCCGGATGTCCATGAGACAGTAATCGTCAGCATCACCTGCACGTCGCCAACGCCGCAACGTCTCTTCACACACCGGCACTTCCATGCCAGGCTTCGAAATCAGCCACTCGTTCAGCTTACGGTAGTCTAAGCAGGGACGGACTGGTGTTGACTCTTTGTGCTCTTGTACTTGAGCCAAAAGGGGCAGCATACATGCCGGTTTACCGTGTAGCTGCTCATCATGGGGTACGAGCCATCCACGCTCGATCCAGGAGTCAACTTCCTGGGTGAAGAGCTGCTCCTGTTCTGCAGTTAGCTTATTACGCGAGTACTCGCCAATGCCACTTCCAATGGTGCCAATTGGTGGGGTGCCAGATTTCCACTTCCAGGATGCCACCCACTGCTTACTGCTGCCATTCCAGCGCACTTCTGCATCGTCAATTGTCAGCACAATGTCTGCACCGTCACGCTCTGCACTCACATGGTACGACGGATGGTCGACATCATCGTTGCTAGACACCACGGATGCAGCTGTAACATCAGACGGTGCTGGTGGCAAACTCTGCTGGGTGCCAAACACTACTCGACATAGGACGCCGGACTCAGAGGAGTCTAGGAACACACCACCACTGCCAGTCACAACGTCATTACCAACGAGCACTTCTGACTGCACAACATCAAGGGTGTCGACGACACAAGCGTCGACGGAAATACACGGTAGAGACACCGCACCATCAGTACGCTGCAGCTTCACGGGGACCGTGCCAATGACCGTCATAGACTGGCCATCAATGGTCATCATGGTGCTGCCGCTATTCGCTAACGGTACAAGATTGCACTCGCTGGCAAACTCACTCGATATCAGCGTCCGTGTTCTGCCAGTGTCGATCACACCACGCGCTCGTGCCCACGTGTCGCCGTCAGGAGAGACATCAACGCAAGGAATGCGTCACCTTCTAGAAATAAAGGCACGCGTTTCATCATTGCAGCCTCGTCCCTCCATCCAGACACATCTGCCAATACTACGAACTTTTCCCAGAAGGTGTCCCATCACTCCTCTGGCCTACCTCTGTAGGGCTTCACAAAACCTTCCAGTTTCACTGACATGATGACCAGTACTCGTACTGTCACACAACTCCAGTTTCCAGTTCCTCAACTGACTGTTAGCGTTCGTTCCCGGGTTTCGGCACCACTTGTTACCAAACTAGCTCGTTCACCACCGTGCAACCACTCATCAGCGCAACCTGAACAACCATTATTGGTTACACGAGTAGATTATCATTATGAATTGGGAGAGCAAAATATGAATTACCAGTCGAAGCAAACCTCCATGACCAACAACCTCTAAAGCCAAAAAGATCCGCCGAAAATACAAGCTGGCATGCCTGCAGGCATGCACGTACAAAGTCATCATACAAGATGTACAACGCTAGCGTATACTACTGATGTACAGAAACACGTGCACAGTCCGCAACAGACCAAGATTCAAAAGATAAATAATAAATAAACTCCTTGAACGAAGAGAACATTGATGAAGCGTAATTATTACTAAAACGGAAAGTACTGCGAAGCAGCTGTACAGTCAGAAATACTTCGAAGTACAAAGAGGAATTAAACATCGAATCAACTGAGTATCATGTTGTCAAAACCAACAGTTCTTCGTCTTCATGTTGTTTTGCCTGGACCCAGTGTTAGCCCCATTCATGATACATAGTACATGTAGGTTACCCTTGTTTGGATTTGCAGCGTTGTATATGAGAGCTTGTATGTTTAAGGCAATGGGAGATATGCATCGAAGATGGCCGTCACCTTTTTGCAGGGCAACTTGCCCCATTTTTGCCAAGTACAATCCATTCTAGTACACTTATGAGTATTACGCTACAAAGTTCATCAGTGAACTTTTATGCAGAACTGGTATCACAGTGTGTGCGGTTGTAGTGGACTTGCCCCGCAAAACCTAACGGCGGGAAATGGATGCGTATGTCCCATTCCAGCTTTTCGTTATGCCTCCTATTGCATGCTGACAATGTAAATCCATGTACACGTAGTAATCCATCTCTGTAAGGTGTGTTTAAGGTGTTGGCCTGGTACGAGCAAAATGTCTCTAAGCTGGTTGTATCGACATAATAAATGTATGGCCGATGGTATCATGGATGTGAAAACTTTGCTATCTACAAATATTCATACCAGTAAGCACGGGGAAAGTTTTAAGTGGGAAAAGTCGGAAGTTCTGGAATTACATGTAAACTAGTACATTTTGTTTCTTTTAGACTCTAGACGGCGTGTTCACTTGCATGGTAATGTCTGAGGCACTAGTACTGTTTATAGCATTGATAAAGAAAAATGGACTGTCACCACCAGGACTCGAACCAGGGACCCTCGCTTATGGCCAGCGATGCTCTACCACTACTTGTAAGCGAATATATATTAATATAATAATACATGTACTCTCCATCTCTGTTTGACTCTGTCGTTGTGTATGTCGATATCTGTGCGCAGCCTGTTTTTGATCCTACCGCCACGGAACCACCTGCAATCACCGTACCCACCCAGAGACCGGTGAGTAAGGGCCTCGCTTTGCCTTGGCGTGGAGCATGCACAGTTAGCTGCGCGCCCTTGCGGCTGGAAAGAGTGACATTTCACGAACGGCATCAGAACATGCAGCAGGGCTACTTAGCATTCACAGTGGATCAGCCCCATCCAGCTGGTCTACATGTACCGTAAAGTCCCGCCAGAGCGCCCCTACCTCCGCTACCATTCGGGTAGATCCATTTGGGGATGGGCGGATGGGCGAGGCCTACTTGCCGCATTCACTACTACATGCTATTAAAGTTTGATTTTTCATAGCAAAATTGCTATGCAAGAAATTAAAAGTAAATTATTCCCTGTAGTAGGTAAAAATTACCTGTACCGAAGTTACCGAAAATATATCTCCACTGAAATTTTCCGGTTATACAGAATACTCTTTTAGAACAGTGGCTCTAAACTTACGCTCAAACAATCTCTGCTGTCTGTGTGTGTGTATGTGTGTGTGTGTGTGTGTGTGTGTGTGTGTGCGTGTGTGCGTGCGTGCGTGTGTGTGTGTGTTCATGTATGTGTATGTGTATGTGTATGTGTGTGTGTGTGGGGGGGGGGGGGGGGGTCTGGTGTAATTTCCTGTACGTGTCTGTGCTTCCCATTGCTGTGCTGTGATGGGGACGTCAACACTATACGCGATGCTGCTGCCTACAGGTGACTTCTATTGATGTGGTAAGTGACCAAATTGACCCTGCATGCTCAAAGCATGTCACGTTACAGCACCCTGCCTTGTATTCTTGTCAGCAATACACTCACTCGCACATTCACCTCGTTAGCGATACACTGACACAGTCACCTCGTTAGCGATACACTGACACATTCACCTCGTTAGCGATACACTGGCACATTCACCTCGTTAGCGATACACTGACACAGTCACCTCGTTAGCGATACACTGGCACATTCACCTCGTTAGCGATACACTGGCACATTCACCTCTTTCCTGCATTGTTGCTTGCTATGTTCTTGCCAGGTCTTTTGGTCTTCGGCAAAGATGGGGAAATTGTTGATCCATCAGTACAATTCAATTCTACCTCAAAATCACGTTGTAATCTGCAGTTCCGTCTCTTGACAGCTAATAGTTTGGTTATGAAACCTTAAAACCTATGATTTCAAGTTTTGGCAGTAAATATTCTGATACAGTCGTCCCTCTCTAATCCGGCACGTGTTTATCCAGCACCCTTGCAAACCAGCACACTTTCTGGCAAAACGGATTTGTTTAGTTCATTTTCTATGCTTTAATCCGGCACTTGAATTCCGCCTCCAGCGGCGATTTTCTGCAACAAATCACTCAAACTGTACATAATTCGATTTTCTAATCCAGCAGTTGTACATCGCATACCGTCAGGGAGCATTGTAACATACACAACACATGTAACATACACTTGGGAATCTCCTATGCCAGTGCATAGGATATTTCCAAGTGTATGTTAAAACATGCATTCCACAAAGTACTTGGATTGACACAGAAAATCCCTACGTTTTGACGTACGACACAAACATGTATGTTAACAGGTGGGCCGGGTTGGAGGGCAGGATTTGATAATCCAGCATCCTTGTTTATCCAGCAGAAAATGCCGTTGCAAAAGGTGCCGGATTAGAGAGGGACGACTGTACTAGTACTAGTACCGGTATGCTTGTTGTGTGCTATGTAGGATATACTCGACGCATGCCGTGGAAGCTCTCCTAGCAAGTTCTGCTTTACCCAGCCTTCCAGTTGCAACTCAACTAGCGACTGCAGATTCGTGTATACCCACCGTGAGGTGGGCTCTGACATGCTGGAGGTAGAGCTGTTTGGGGTGACTGGACCCGAGTCAGGCTGGTTATCTGTTGCTTACAGTGCCGATGCTGCAATGGTAAGCCTGCCGCTGGACCAGATCTCTAGTGAATATCCCCACCGTCATGGGGTGGTCTAGTACTGGGGGCAGTGACCCCTGCTGCTGCATGGCTGGGCAATCGACTACTGCTGGGGGCACGTCAGTGTTGTGTATGTTTCACTACGTGTCTGGTGCTTGCACGGGATACAATGGCTTATTTAAAAAATAGTTAGTGAGCGGCTTCACTCCTGTACTGGTCATGCCCCGCTCCCCCCACACACATATTCAAGTATGCGGAGTGCCTTGTGTTCTGTGCCTTTCCCAGGGAAATGATGACGTGTTGGCCTGTGAAGTGACGACTGGTGGCATAGTCGTGGCCAAGAACTTGCACAACGCAGGGCGGTCCAACGTTCGTGACACTGGAAGCTCAGCTGTGAGTGCTTATAACTCCGAGTCTAGACGGTTTTCAACTATGACATAATATACATGCACATCATACAACGATGTGTTTGGTTTGTATATAATGAATACCTGCCTGGATTGCATACAACCAGCATTGATCAGACAGTTATACACCGTAGGAGCGTCCGATGGAGTGTGGACCGTGTGACCTTCTGATCTTCTGTTGGGGAAATTTGCCCAGTGCTATCGAAGTTTTAATGATGGAGGTTGAGTTCGGTGTGATCAAGGTTTGTATGCCACCTGGCCATGTAAGTAGGCAGATTTCAGCACTGTTGTTTGGTCACTGGTGTGATAGAATAGTACGCCGCCGACAGTCATGATTCATTACTCAGCATGGAAGGGAAAAGATAATAAAATTCACGGTTCTCGTCAGACTCGGCTAGATGCCGAGTTTTCCGCATCCGTAGGAATGCCACCGCCCTTCAAGGATTAAGGCGCAGACGCAGCTCCTAAGGGCCGGGTTCCACTGCCGCTCCGCGGCTCTGCTGCTTCGCGGCTTCGCGGCACTTGGCTGCATGCAGCGGAGCAGCGCGGTTCCACTGACATTCGCCATTCGCGGTACCGCGGTCATGCTCCACTTTTGTTTGATGACGTTTTACCTGCCTAAATCAAAAAAATCCTCGGGTTCTGGCCTGCGCAACGAATTAAATTTGAATTTTAAAATCCTCGCATACGAAACAATGCAAAGTACGGGAAACAGGTCACTTTTTGATCAAGAATCGTAGCGAAAGCTCGTGGTGAGCCACGGCCTCGCTGCTCCAGCTCGAGCCGCGGTCACTATGGTAATGATGACGTTTCAAGCCGCGGATGAGCGGAGCCGCAGTGGAACCCGGCCCTAAAGCGGTGGGAGGTGAGTAGATCAGCTCACCAGCAAGTGGTCAAAGACAGAAAATCCCATCACTGCATCCATGTTCTCCTCGTGCCAGGCCACGAGTTCCCAAATTAACTGTGGGTCGTAGCATGGCTGGAAATACTCCTTTCGCTTCCAAGCAGGACTTGAACCTGGTACCCTCTGTTTCTCAATCATGGTCTTAGACCATCCCACTATGCCTGCCTGCCTGCCTTGGAAAGGAAGCATGTCCAGGGGCGTAGGAACAGGTCCGGCGGTGGCCGCTGGACCAATGTTTTGCCAAAAAAAGAAAGAAAAAAAGAGAAAAAAGCAGCAAGTTCGTTTTCAACCGTGCAGAAGGCCAAGTCCTCCTTACGCAGTACAACCCGCCAGGAAAGACTCAATCACCTGATGTTCCTGAATGTCCACAAGAATCTGCTGGACGGCGTGTGCCTGAGAGTACCGCACGGTAATTTGTACGTGGAAGTGAGCATCGGCTCTCTCATTTCGGACAGTTTTAAGCGGAATTTCATCAATTCAAATACTTGCTTCTGCATGCACTTCAGGAGTATACCTCAAGTCTTCCATGATACCACAGTATTTGTTCATATCAATCCTTTTAAAATCGCCCTCTTCACTCAGTAGAGACAGAGAAATTAATGGGAAAAATGGACGTGGGTGGGTCAGAGACAATTTTGCACGAGGACGGATTTTTTAATTTCGATAATTACGGATGACCCATTATATTGTGGCATTGCGTGCCACTGTTGTTGTGCCTGTTTCCGCTGTGTTTGATCTGATAGAGTCCCTTTATTACCCCTCTGGAGACACTGCGCACTTCAGACACTCTCTATTGCAGGTAAGGTGGTGGTAGTTTGAGGGACCGATCAAACAGTCTGCGTACAAGTCAGCGTAGGACACACAAGCATTGTTACGTGGGAAGGGTAGCAAGGGCAGGTTAGATATGCTTCTGGGGAGGACAGGGCATGGTCTGATACAGTCATGTACTTCTGACGTACTCTGAAAGCAAGTCAGTGTGTGTGTGTGTGTGTGTGTGTGTGTGTGTGTGTGTGTGTGTGTGTGTGTGTGTGTGTGTGTGTGTGTGTGTGTGTGTGTATGTGTATGTGTATGTGTGTGTATGTGTGTGTGTATGTAAGTGTGTGTATTATGTATTGTGTATTGTGTATTGTGTATTGTGTTTGCTTCCACATGTTTTGAATTTTCAATCCATCGAATTGTCCTATAATATCAGGTACATTTTTTAACTGCTCCTTGTATGCACACAGTAACGGCCACCCTAATTTAAAATCAGTGCCAATTCCACTTGGCAATGAGAAATCGCACTTTTGTCCACGGTACTCACTACAGTAGAATCCCGCGGAATAGCCCATGGGCTTATCTGTTAGCCCATGGGCTTATCTGTTAGCCCATGGGCTTATCTGTTAGCCCATGGGCTTATCTGTTAGCCCATGGGCTTATCTGTTAGCCCATGGGCTTATCTGTTAGCCCATGGGCTTATCTGTTAGCCCATGGGCTTATCTGTTAGCCCATGGGCTTATCTGTTAGCCCACGGGCTTATCTGTTTCACAAGGACATTTCGGTGGGCGAATACAAGAACATGGGCTTACACGCGGGCATGGGTTTAGACGCCGACACCAAAATTGTGCTATTGAAAAGTACCAAGGAAGGGAAAAGTACATTGCTGAAAACCACTGTGCAATCAAAAACAACCGATGATTGTGTTGAAATGAACAACAACAACAACAACAAAAAAACTTGATGTACTACGTACATGGTACGACCTAGGCCCATGGGCCAGACTCAAACTCATGCACAGCAACTACGAGTAAAAGCCGCGAAGTTCGTTTCACGTGCTCGTGGGAAACGACGCATGCTACATGCATAACGTATCACGATGTACTACTGTCATGAATGTCTGGAGTAGTCAAGGAATGCCACAGTGCGTATGTAGACGTGAACACTACAGTAAGGAAGAATACTGGATATGATGTAAAAACACGAGGATAAACATACCCAACAGCGCGCAACAATCAACTGCTACTTGGTAACTGGGATGATTTTTTTCTTCTCAGTGACTGATATTACTTTGGAGCATTAGAGCAAGACATGGAGTGTTATAATACGGTTACAGTGCTCTATTTAACTGCTGCGATACAATCATGTAAGTTGGCACTGTAGTGATGTGCTTTTGAAGTACTTTTACTGTGTGTGCCTGGCATGCGTTGTCGTCGTCGTCGTTGTCGGTCTTGCCAGGTTCCAGCGTCCACTAATGACAGGTGCGACGAGTGCAGGGGATGATTTTGACCTGTCACAGCCATGGACATATTTCTTCGGCAGTCGCAGCACCGGCCTAGGTATGGGCAAATCCCTGGCACTTGCAACAGCCTGGAATGTGTTACTTTTTTATTTTACTTTTTTTTATTCCACATTCCATAGCATGTAATTGCCAATCAAAGAGGAGGGGTTGAAACTAAGTTACTTGCTGTAGAGTCTCTTGCACCAGCGTTTGCATTCGGGCCCCGGTGATTCAACCATCATGTGTTCTAAACCTGCGCTCACCCTACACACTATACAACTTGTCATAGTTTACAGAGTGCTTTGTCACTTTCGCATTTGCCCTATTTTGTGTGTGCAGTCTTGACTGGTATATGTAATGTGCATTCGTTTTGCAACCCTTCTATCATCCTTTTATCCTGCTCTTAGGCAATGCCAACGGAGCACTTAGTGGACAGCACAATGCCATACCGGTAGCCTCCACTGAGCAGTACACCTCGCAGAGCACTGGCTTTGGCTCTGCGTCCGCATTGAGCAGAAATGCCGTCAAGGCACACGGTAGGTAATAGGGCCGTGAGGCCGTTGCAACAGGTGATCCAGTAATTGCACATACGGTTGTGCTCGGCGTAATCCGACCCAACGTGCATATTTGGCGACTTCAACTTGCACGACCCTGGCCTTGGTGCCCTGCAGAAGTGGAGCGAATGTTGCTGGACGTACACAATCGCATGTACAAGTACAATGATGTAATCGGAACTGGTCCAGGACATCAGTTTTGCACTTCGGGTCGGATTTCCCTGAGCGCAACTGTAGCAAAGTAGTATATGCGTGAAGTACGTTCACAGTTGTGTCTGTTCTTCAAGACCTGTATACATGTGTGTGCTTATCTGCACTGACACAACTTTATTTCATCTGTGGTAAGTTCCATTCGACGAATGACCGGAATGTTGACGTCGGTGTTGTCTTTCTGTCCCAGGCATACTGATGGTGCTGGCATGGACCGGCGCAGCCAGTATCGGTATGTTCCTTGCTCGCTACATGAAGAAGGCGTGGGTCAGCAAGCCGTACTGGTTCCTGGTAGGTGCAACCATACCCAATAATCGCTTCAATTCAGTTTGCCAGGAATGTCACATAGATTCATTGTAGTCAATGGGCAACTGTAGGTGACATTTATGTCGAAGCTTAGTCTTCTGTATAGCGATTCCTCTCTGTTGGACCCTGTTCCTAATGGTGTTTTTCTACAATTTTGTTAGAAGCAAGAGTTTTTCTGAGACAAAACTTCAGAATGCGTGGAACGTATTGTTTTGCAGCTAGCTAGGCGTCTGTATCGCATCCTGAGTGTTGTCTTTGTGAGTGTTGTCTTTGTATTGCATCCATGTGTTGCGTATCATCCTGAGTGTTGTCTTTGTATTGCATCCATGTGTTGTGTATGCAGTTTCATCGGGGCATCATGATCTCAGTGTTCATTTTGAGCGTGGCTAGCTTCATTCTGATTTTTGTTGACGTGGGAGAGTACACGGTAAGTCACGTGATCAGATGATCATCAGTGCAGGTGCCGGTCAGTTACACCTCCAATGATGCTGTGTGCCGTGCACTTTGAAGTAGTAAAGTTAGTACTCGCCACTGCTGGTACTGATAACGTGCTGCAACATGACTACAGGCAGAATCACGGTACACGTATGTGTAATTCAGACCACGATTTGACAGGAAAACCTTCTGATCATCTGATTTGACAGGAAAACCTTCTGATCATCTGATTTGACAGGAAAACCTTCTGATCATCTGATTTGACAGGAAAACCTTCTGATCATCTGATTTGACAGGAAAACCTTCTGATCATCTGATTTGACAGGAAAACCTTCTGATCATCTGATTTGACAGGAAAACCTTCTGATCATCTGATTTGACAGGAAAACCTTCTGATCATCTGATTTGACAGGAAAACCTTCTGATCATCTGATTTGACAGGAAAACCTTCTGATCATCTGATTTGACAGGAAAACCTTCTGATCATCTGATTTGACAGGAAAACCTTCTGATCATCTGATTTGACAGGAAAACCTTCTGATCATCTGATTTGACAGGAAAACCTTCTGATCATCTGATTTGACAGGAAAACCTTCTGATCATCTGATTTGACAGGAAAACCTTCTGATCATCTGATTTGACAGGAAAACCTTCTGATCATCTGATTTGACAGGAAAACCTTCTGATCATCTGATTTGACAGGAAAACCTTCTGATCATCTGATTTGACAGGAAAACCATCTGATCATCTGATTTGACAGGAAAACCTTCTGATCATCTGATTTGACAGGAAAACCTTCTGATCATCTGATTTGACAGGAAAACCTTCTGATCATCTGATTTGACAGGAAAACCTTCTGATCATCTGATTTGACAGGAAAACCTTCTGATCATCTGATTTGACAGGAAAACCTTCTGATCATCTGATTTGACAGGAAAACCTTCTGATCATCTGATTTGACAGGAAAACCTTCTGATCATCTGATTTGACAGGAAAACCTTCTGATCATCTGATTTGACAGGAAAACCTTCTGATCATCTGATTTGACAGGAAAACCTTCTGATCATCTGATTTGACAGGAAAACCTTCTGATCATCTGATTTGACAGGAAAACCTTCTGATCATCTGATTTGACAGGAAAACCTTCTGATCATCTGATTTGACAGGAAAACCTTCTGATCATCTGATTTGACAGGAAAACCTTCTGATCATCTGATTTGACAGGAAAACCTTCTGATCATCTGATTTGACAGGAAAACCTTCTGATCATCTGATTTGACAGGAAAACCTTCTGATCATCTGATTTGACAGGAAAACCTTCTGATCATCTGATTTGACAGGAAAACCTTCTGATCATCTGGACGTTCCCATTATCCAAGCATGCAACACGAAAACGCACACTATGTCAAGATGCTCGCCTCGGCCGTTGAACACAGTTGCACATCGCCCGGTGAACACGACAATGACCAGTACAATGTTTTGGCACGCATTGAACAGGCCAGTACAGTGTACAATGAACTTGGAATTATACCATTGCAAGACGCGTGAGAGGGATGCACAGCCACGCACAAAGAGTAGTATACGTTGTGTGTTCATACCCCTAGGCTGCCCGCCCCCCCCCCCCCACATGAATATACATCGGACTCACAGCATGCAGCTACTTGGTAATTGAGTGATCGTGTGCCGTTACTCATGCATGTTGTGTTATGTGTTGTCGCGATGAACAGAACTACGAGACACATGGAGCCCTGGGTATTATTGTTGTGGCACTGGCCTTCATTCAGGTAAGTCCCCACTGTTATTTAAGCTCGGTGTACTTCACAGCATGCGTCACGGCATAGCCTCCTCTCATGTCTGTTGACTGGCACTTGCCAACATGTCTCGCAATCTCTCAATGAAGTTTGAACCCTGCCGCGGTGGCCTGTAGCCCACTGCAGACCCTGCCCAGTGTTGTGGTCACAGTGAATTGTTTGATGTCACAGCGGTGTGTTTGCTGCAATAGCAGAACCACTTGGTGTACTGGTAGCTGGCTGGTCAGGGTGTCGGGGAAGCTTAAGAAGTCACATAATATATCCTCACATTTCTATTGCTGTTCTACGTGCCTGCAGCCGTTCATGACCTTGTTGCGCTGCGGACCAACAGATGACAAGTAAGTTGAATGCGAAGATATAATTATTTGTGTTGCTGGAAAAGGTGTGTGTGTGTGTGGGGGGGGGGGGGGGGGCAGGACGGAGGGGTTTAGTTTGGAGGCCTCCGTAGGTCGTGATGACTGTTATGGTGTAGCTTTGCAATCAGGGTGGTGGTAAATCAAATCAGTCTTGTGTTTCTGGTTGCTCGACTGAGCTGGCAATAGTGCATACATGACCACGAACACCTGGAACAGGAGTTGAAGATGGACGAGCACCGTAAATACCACTTGCACTGTACTTTGAAGTTTGAAGTGTGCACACTCTGCTGCAGTATATTTCCTGCACGCTGCACTGTGTGGTATTCTTGGTTTATACATGTCCAGTCTGTACCAGACCCGAAGTCTGTTGTTGTCTGTCTCTCCCCTCCCCCCCCCCCCCTCTCTCTCTGCAGGCGATGGATCTTCAACTGGGCTCACCGTGGAGTTGGTGCTGCTGCTCAGATCCTTGGCAGTAAGTAGAAACAAATGATACCGGCTCGAAATATTCTGCATGAATCATTTGCAGGTGGAACTCGCCTACACTCAAATATGCACGCATTCCACACAAAATCCAGTTGTATGTCAACGTTTCAGTCTTCATGACCATCGCCAGGAACACTGGTCATCAAGACCGAAACGTTGACAAATTACTGGATTTTGTGTGAAATGCAGTGCATAATATGTGTGTGTGGGTGAGGTCCACCTGCAAATGATTCAAGTTCAATGAAGGTGCATGGGGTGCCCTTTAGACTATTCAAAATATTCTGGTTTTATATATACGCATACAAGTCCAGTCCGTTATCACTAGAGTTAGCATAGCAATTTCTATGAAATTGTGTCTTTTCACTCACAAATCAACTGTTCAGTACATGGGGTAGTCTACCAGAGCAATCACACTCACAATTCTTCTTACCTTCTCTGTGTCCATGGTGCTTCTTCAGTTGTGGCTATTTACTTTGGTCTGGATGCGTACAAGGACCTTGGCTTTGACATGGACGACTTCTACAAGACCACGTGGATTGTGTGGGTGGCTGTCTGCGCCGGAATTTGGGTTGCGTTTGAGATCTACAACCTTGTTGTGGACCCGCAGGGTAAGTACTAGTATTCTGTCTCCACGCATGCGTGTTTGGGTATCTTGTTTGGTTGTCAAAGCGCAGTTGTGGCAAGTGAAGTTCACCCACTAATTTCCCAATGGCTCACTCCGAGCACTGGCCTGCCTGCACTGTGCTGGTACTCGGGTTAAAGCAGTGTTCGATGTTGAAGAAGAAAGTGACCGTTCCGACGAGTTTGTGTACGTATATCATGATGTTTTACATGCAGACTAGTACCTGGAGTCTGATTTAACTCGCCACGCTTGTAGAGAAAGGACTCCGGAGGGTTCGAATTCTCATTTGAAAATTAACATTGATTTTATGTGGTATGTAGGTGGGCAGTTACTTACTAATGACTGTATGCAGTGTGTGTTCTCGTCAAGTATGTACTTAAGCTGTGTCATGGTAACTCCATAGTGTCATGGTAACTCCAAGGAGGCCTACAATACCTCTTGTAATTTTACAATGATGCAAGTAAGCATATTGCTGTTCATGAGGATGTGTCTGATTTCAGTGATTTGTCTTCTTTCCCTTGCAGAGGAGGCAGCACCAACGACTGATATCCCGATGACGGAAAAGGGTGGTAGTGATGAACCAGCTAAGCCTCCGCCGAAACAGCTCATTGAAGTGAGGATGTGCTTTGGTGTTGTCTTTGTTAGTCTACCTGCCGTCTGTATGATGTGTGTGTGTGTGTGAGTGTGTGTGTGTGTGTGTGTGTGT